TACTGAGAATGACTGCACATGGGTAGGATTATTTATGACAATATACTAGGCATACAATGCCAAAAACATGAAAAAAGCAAAATAAATACACTAAGAAAAAAAGCTTACTTTAGAGATTAAATTTTTACTTTGAAAAAGGCAGGGTCAATTTTGCCCACCCATTCAAACTCATTGACACCATTTTGGCTTAACTAAGGAATGAATATGACTTCTATGTTTTTACATGGTGGCATGATTCATTTTATGGAATTAAAAACATTTAAAACAATCAGAAGGAAATAAACAAATGATATTGGCATTCAGGTCAGACATAAGGAAAAGGTCAAGGAGAAAAGCTGCTCAAGGTAACGTAAGGCACTTCTCGCTGTATGCAAGTTCCCATCATCTTTCAAAGCACTTTCTCCAGTCATTCTGTAAAGCACGTTGGCAGATAGGCAACCCCAAACAAGCTTTAAACTAGCTAGTTCAGGGACGACTAGTGATGCAGACATGGCAACACGATCTCATGGCTGAAGGGCTAGCAGTACGTGTGCTAGGTAACTTTAAACCTAGCACTGGCATATCTACACTGCACTGTGGTGCAGGTACACTGGATTTCAGGAAAAAATGGCATTATTGAGAGGACTTCAGGGTCTGGCCACCTAGAAATCCCTTCCTAGGAATCGATTTGCTTTAGGTCACTGGACAGAAAGCCGTTTACCAAAAGTCCACACGTTTAGGTCCTCCCAAGGCTGCCGTTTAAAGTCAGTATCTTGCCCTCTTCTATTTGCTGGGTGACATCTTAGGCCACTTGGGAAAAAGGAAACCTAGATTTAATCAGCCTGCAAATAACTAATACCAATTTTAATCTTGAAGGTGATGGACACACCCTCTGAATCCAAGATTTCCACTCATCTCGGCTTCTCCGGGCCTCACTTCACAGGTCTGACAGAACAAGATATGGGGAAGCAAAAACAATATTTCACACAGCTTTCCCCTTATTGAACAGCTAACGCAGTCACCTAATTTCACACCACAGAGGTTCACTGAGGTGGTGCACAGAGTAATGTGTTGATGCTGAGGAAGTCAATTTTCACGGTAGTAATTGCGAAGAGGCTGGTCTGCATGTATGTCACATGATGAAAAGAGATAAACATTAGTATATCCAGTTCCCAAATAGACTCCTGAGTGCTAAGGGCTGGATAAATCCATTTAGATCTGTTCTTTATTGCTACTGTTATGTAAAGACTTAAAAAATAAGTCTTTTCAAGAGGGCTTTCCTCTTCAGTACCAACCCACTTAGAATGCTGCACAGTGAATGCATGCATGCTAGCCTCCAACTCAAAACCCTGTTACTTAGAACCAGGGGTCCAGGTTTTCTGTCTGACACGGAAAAATGCAGTAAAACCCAGATTTTCCCATTTTAAGGAGAAAACCCAGGATTTTCTCCTTTAAAGGAAATGCTGGATTTTCCTTGGCAGGCTGGCAGAGCTCCAGACTGCAAGAGGCTGGACGAGTGGGAGGAGGGTGATCAGGAAGGGGGTGCTGCATGCATGTGCATGCTCACACATGCATATGGCTGCCAGGCAGCCTGGGAGCAGATCCCTGCAGGTAAGTCGGGGGGGAGGGGTGGGATTGAGGCCCCCATAGTGAGGAAGGGATGGAGCTGGGCGGAGCTGGGGCAGCTGCCAAGCCTGGGCGGTGCGTGGGGTTTGGGGCATGGGGCCGTAATATGCAGCTGGAGGGCCCAGCTGGAAAGTGGGATGGAGCTGTGGGTAGCTCATCCAGGGGGCGGTGGAGGGAGGGGGAACACTGGCTGCCCTCTGCTGCATGTACTTCATGGGGGGGTACATGCCCCTCAGATTTGTGCATGGGAAGAGCTTGCAGCTGCAGGCTCAGGCACCCTGCCCTGCTGCCCTCCCTGAAGAACTCCACGGCCCAGTCGGCAGGACCTGGCACAGCAGGGCAGAGCCGGGGGGGGAAATTCAGTGCTGCTGCTGGGAGCCCCATGCCACCATAGTGAGGTGCCCCCTGCCCAACCCAGCAGCAGCAGGGGCCACAACCCCACACTGCCACTGCTGCCACAGGGGCAAGGAAAGCCTCGCCATGGTGGCATGCATCTCCCAGCAGTGGGACTGAGCTTCCCTGGGTACTGCCATGGAGACAACACAGTTCAGGCACATAAATGCCTTATACCTGTGCTCTCAGTTCCAGTGCCCATTCTGGCAGGAGTGTGACACCTACATTTTGCCCTCAGTCTTTTATTTTGAAACTGAGCCAGAATTTGAGACCCAAGGTTAAGAACATAACATTAACGACTAGACAGCTTGATTAGAAAACTATGAATACATTTTTTGGAGAACCAGAACTTAATGCAGGATCAGTGAGTGAAACTATGGCCTGGGTTATGCAGAACATCAGAGTAAATTATTATAATTGTCCCTTCTAACCTTATAATACAAAAAAAGAAGTCACATTCTCCCCCTTAGCACAAACGACTTAATTTTTGAAAAGGATCAATCACACAAAGGAAGTTGTGCCTGTGGAAAGGGCCTTCCATTATTCCTGTAGGTAATTATGTGACTGTGAACATATATCGCTCATTTTCAGTGGTACAAATAACCTACAGGGCAAATTATATTTATACTTCCAACCTTCATATAGAACCTGAACTGTATAGCTGTCAAAACATGGACTACTACAGAGTGAACATTAATCTTAGGACCTTACATTAAACCCTTCTATGGTACCAGTTCCAAAATAGCATGACCACCAATATGAATATGGCAGTGGTACCTGTCTCTGCCCTTTTGAGATTATCTATCTATCTATATATATATAGATTTTTTTTAAATTTCTTCTTCTTCTTTTTTTTTTAAACTAAAATGTTCTCACTATTTCCATCAGTACTGTGGTATACATTACATCTTTAAACTCCATAATTAATAATGGGACAGACATGTTAAAGCTAAGCAAAAGGGCATGTGCTTTTCCTTTGTGTTCTGTAAAGAAATTCTCAAACATGTTTATTGATCTATTTGTAACTTGATATATGGTGGTAAATCACATTTTAATTTTCTCTTCTTTAGCTGAATGAAAAGAAATATATTTCTACCTTCCAGGAAGTACTTAAACTTTCAAATACAATAGAAGCATTACACAAAGCTGCCTGGAAGAGATCACATCCTTTTTCACAAACAGCAATAAAACACCAAGAATCATAGAAATTAGGGATGCAAAAGAAGAATCTATTCCATCTGGTTGACAAAGCAGGATGGTTCCCAGTAGTGTATTTTTAGTATTTTGCCCAGGATGACTTTGAGAGTCTGAAATGGGGGTAGGGAAAGCCTGCCTCACCACTTCAATAGATTTACATGTGGTGTTCCAAAAAAGGCCTGAACCTACAAACACCCATGAATGGGCATGGCATTTAGGCAGCAAATCGCCTCCTGGGGATCAGTTAGAGCTACTCAGTGTTAACTATAATGCCCAATGTTTGCAGGTGGATTCTTAGTTGAAGTATATCCAGTACAAATAAAAGTATGGGATTAAATCCCTTTAAGGTTCCTACAGTACAAAAAGAAGTTACTATTTTTTAAGGAAATACACAAATTAAATCAAACATCTTCCTCCTGTCTCTGTAGTTTCCATTTATACTATGACCATAACCAAAACTTTGCCTATAAAAAGACGATCTAGAGAGGCAGAGGAGAAAAACCAACAGGAAAGATTCACATAAAACATTCCTTATATTTTAGTATATGATCTTAGTTACTTTATTACCGTTTTCTCCATCAGACTTCCTTTCATGGTCGGTATCAGTGAGGGACAATGCAGAGTTTGCCCGGCTTGACAAACAGGAACTGTGTTCGGATTTCATCCCCCTCATCCACATCCTCAGGGCATGGTCCGGTGAAGCACCCCCTTCAGTCTCGGTATCCACATCCGATCCCATCTCTAATGGATAACCATGTTGAGCTGCACCATGTAAATCTGGCTGGTAGCCAGAGCACAGCACGTGGGGAGTCTCGCAGAATTCCATCTCTGGGGGAAAAAAACCGTTCAGAGAAGGAGTTTAGATATGAGTAACACTATTTCTTTTAACATAAACCATTTGGAGGAATCTGTTTCTAGAATTAAAACTGCTTAATGATTTTGGGCTTGGTCCTGGCTTTTGAAGCTTCTTAAATATAAATATATTTTTTTCAATGCACAATGCTGTAAATTATATGAAATCTTTAATTGAGTCTTCCAATCTGATAGGAATGTATATCACTCATGAAAACACATATACAATTCTCCTAATTCTTAAAGTATAATATATCAATTTACTATAAAGCTACTTGCACGTCAAATATGAAGTGCAATTTATAACATCAAGTGAATACACTGATTTCACCAAAAAGAAAAAAAGAAACAAAAGAATAAAAAAGGAAAACCAACCCATGCATTTCTAAATTTAAATAGAATCTTACTTGATATTTTTTAACATGGAAAAAAATTGGAGAACTACAATGCCCCTGACATGTTACAATTATAGTGCGATTAATGTGTTAATAGCCGCATAAATAGTAACAATACTAAATATTTAGCTGGCTTATGGCATCATAAAGTGGGAAACAAGCCATAAAGATATTCTACAAAATACGCTGACCATATTTGGGGCTTATTTGTATGAACATGTAGCATCCCCAGGCTGTTGCGGACAGCTTCCATGGGGGCTGCAGGGCAAAGCATTTTAAAATGCCAGGTTGCAGGAAGCCAGGCTGCACCCGTGATTTTTAAGATGTTGGGAGGTGGTGTGGAGGGTGACAGGGGATGGACAGGTACCTTGGTTAAAGGAGAGGCTTCCTGATCATGGGGTCCTGGTGCCCAGGCTTTTAAAAGCCATTTATACAGCTGGACGGTCCCAGGACTGGAAAGACAAGCCAATTCTCTAATGCAGGCATGATAGCCGGGGGTCTCAAACTGGACCCAGGACTATCAGAGCTGGTCCAACAATCAGCTAATTGTCAGATCCAGGCTGGATTGCCCCAGGTTTGAAACCTGCTGGGAGGCAGCTCTGGGCAGGGAGAAGCTCAGCAGTGGAGCAACTGGGATCGAAGGGATTTTATGCCCCTTTCCAAACACTACACCTTCTTTCATGCCGTATGGCAGGAGGCATGATGCTTGGGACGGGGTATAAAATTCCTCCAATCGCAACCATGCCATTGTTTTAACATTTCCCAGGGCCTTCAGGGTCTGCTAAGATGAAGAATTCACAGAACTAAGTTTGAAGATCTCTGATAAAGCAAGGCTACTTACCGGTAAGCACGGTTCTTTGAGAGTGCTGTCCTTGCATATTCACACTTGTAGATTTTGGTTCTCCAGGGCTGCTGAACTACAGGAGCTTCCTAGAAAAGCAGAGACTCCTGGCACTGTACAAGTGCCCCTTCATAGCCCCAGATGGTCAGAGAGACAGTTTTAAAGAACTGTACAGTGCCCGGTATTTCAATGACTCCTGCTAAGAGACTTACAGAACAGAAGAGCTCCAAGGCCGAGCAGCGGGTGGCCAGAAACCGTGACGTGAATATGCAGAGGAAACATTCTCGAAGAACCACCGGCAAGCACCATGTTAGTAAACTCCCATTTTCTGTTAAGGTAGCCTCTGCATATTCTCACTTGTGACAATCCACTTAACCACGCGAGTCCCGAGGAGGAAAATGCAGGGCTCTAATCAAATGAAGATTAGAAAACTTTCCTCTCAAACTGAACTTCAGGCCTAGGATGCCAGCATGGGAAAAGAGTGTGGAGTACAGGTGCTTGCGGTGTTCCTAAAAGTTGGATTGCTGATTTCTAGGAGGTAAATATTCCAGAGGTAGAACCGCTGATGCAGTGCGAGACTTAATGGTCTTCACAACTATCACTGCAACCAAAGCCTTGCTGGTCAGACTAATTCACTTGGCAGGCACTGAGCGGAAACAGCCCGCACTTTAAATTCATCCTCAGATGTGAAAAAGTCTTGGTGACATACTAAAAGGTCTTGACCATAATTTACACACCTAACGTTAAGCTCCTCTACCCTTAAGAAGCTTAATTTGAAAGCCGCTGAACATCTGCAGGTCTTTGAGCCTCAGGCACAAAGTAATACTAAACACCAGTCTGGGGAACAGTCTTGACTTGAGGCAGGCTAGTTAAAAATATCTAGTCAAAACAAGAAACCAAGGCTAGAAGCACAGAACAAAATGAATCTGACCCGTGTCTCTTTGCGGAGAGAAACCCATCGGTAGTCTCTACCACTACATCAACCCACTAGAGCTTCAGGAGAGGGCTGCAGAAAGGAGGTGGAGAAAATGAGTATCTTTACTTCAAGCAAACAAGAACAACAACATGAACTGTCAAGGGACAAGATGAGATTTCTCCATTAAAGATTAATACAAATCAAAAGCAGTCAAATTAGTCCCATATATTGATCGGTCATTCTGACCTTTAACGACGGGATGTTATAGAACTATGCCACGGAAAAATTCTATCAAAAAAGACAACCATTTCTTCTCTATTTTATCACTGGATAAAATCTATTAATTGATGGGCTTCATTCCAGTTTCCTTCAGTCCATAAGTAGAGAATCAGTTTACTTATTTTTGGACCTTACCAGGATAATTGAGAGAAGAACCTTGCCCACTCTGACACTCATGACATACAGCTGTGGGGCACCATCTCTACAGAAATCACTGCTATCTTTACCTGCAAAAGGGGTACAAGAGCAGCCCCACTGCTTGCAGTGCACCTTTGCATCCTCTTCCCTGTGTGTTTTGGATAAATCCAAAATATATTTATTCTTTACCAGGATAACTTTGTTCTAACCTGGAAAGCTTGCCTTCTGCGAGGTGTTGCACCAAACAAATTTTGTGGACTACTTTCTCTCTCAAAGACAGGTTACAATCAGGTGCAAAACATTTTTAAAAAAAAATATCTTCCTCCCTCTGTTCCTCCTCACAGCAGCACTGACTTTCTCTTACCAGGCAAGACATTTTTTTTAGTAACTACTAAAACTCCAGTAACTTTGGAGGCTGAGCTGGCTGACTTCAGGGCCCCAATGAAGCATGGATGCAAAGAGTTGCTCCGGCCCACTCCAGGCAGAGAGTCTGCCACTCGTACCCTGCAGCCCAAGTTCTGTCAATTTGTGCTGGCATAAGCCAAGGGGTGAATTCAACCCAGTAAATCTCACTAATGCTAATTAGATTTCACGTGCTTATGAAGGGCACAATTTACCCCTCAGTCTATATGTTAATTCAGAAAGTAGCAGCTAATGTATTCAATATTTTAGCTTTTTTGTTTTGAGAAGTAGCAAAACAAATTTGCTGTTTTTAGCACAAAGGATACTGAATTGAATTGCAGTACCTTCCTCTCATACACAATGCATTGCCTCCATAGACTATTTCCTTAAATAAACACCTTTGTAGTGTTTTAACTCCCACAGGATGCATTTCCTGCAAAGCACTTATAGTGCCGAAAGTGGCTGGTTTTTAGCCTTGCACATCTAACCTTGTTACCCAAAATACTGCATATTCCCAAGGGGAGATAAAGTTCAAGCGGATTTATGATAGATCTATTCTTATCAGAATGCTGGTCACAAAAGAAACTGGAACATTCATGCAAAAATCAAAGTTTTACATAGGTTACCATATACCAGTCTGTGGTGTAAATAAAGAAATAAAGTCTGAGGAACAACTGTACACAGAACCCCCCCCCCCCCC